ATCACTTGACTGCTTTCCCATGCTTTCAATTTCCCTTTTCTTCAATTCTTTGGCGTGAMGCAAAATCGACCGACTGACGTTACGTTTGCTTTTTCTTTTCACTTCTTCATTTTCATTCGCTTYKTTTTCTTTCTCATTTTTCGCGTAAAGTAAAATCGATTGACTGACWGCAGATCGTGAAATYGTTTTTCGTGTTTTGRTTTTCGTTGTTTCATTCCCTTTYATCCCATCTYCYTGKTGAATKGATTTGTCTAGAGTAAATTCCAASTTTTTTTSTYCAATTTCTTCTTTATCATGAATTGATTTATCATTATCACTTTTAGAGTCAACGTTAAAGTTATTCTCTTGTTTCATTTCGACTTCTTCGAGCTGTTTTGCACGGAGTAATATCGWCTGTGCAAGACTAGGCCTTCTTGCTTTGCTGTCTTCGTTATTWGCATTCKTTATTACTTGTTTTTCTTTCGTTTGAAGGAGTTTGGACGAGATTGGTGACGTCGCYGGGACTGGAGGGGAGACTGTAGCTTGTTCTTCAGTGGTCGATTTTCTAGATGAAAATTAATTAGAAAAAAGGAAAGTGAGGTGAAAGAAAATCTAACTTTCAAGGTATACACTCTAAGTGAGCAATACCTTTTCTGTTTTAGTTCCTTGGGCACTGTATTCTTCATATTTTGTTCCTAAAACGACATACAGAACATGACTGGCTAGAATATCGAAAACCCCATGCATGTCGTGCATGCCATAGAGACAGAAATAGAGTACAACGTTAGCAACGAATACCAAAATCAAGAAAGCGGTGTGAAGGCGCACTGAAGATTTAAATTTTTAAAACAATCGGGAAAATGATTATATAAGGGAACCATAGAGAAGTATGAGAAGAAAAAAGGCATGTGAACCTGATCAGAAGCAAATGAACCTGATCAGAAGCAGCAACAACAACAACAACAGCGACAACAACAGCAACAGCAACAACAACAGCAACAACAATTACAACAACAGCAACAACAACAGCGACAGCAGCAACAACAATAACGGCGACAACAACAACAACAATTACAAAAACAACAACAGCAAAAACAACAGCGACAGCAGCAACAGCAACAACTTCAACAACAATAATAATAACAACAACAACAACAATGACAACAAGTCAGCAAAAATGAGAACGACAACATCAACATCATATACCTTTGTAGCATTTTCAATCGGTTCGACGTGGTTATGCCTTCGTAGACATTTCCATGACAACCTTTCTGTGTTTATCAGTAAACACGGCATCAGAACCACCAAAACGGTAACAGGAATCAAGATGGCGGACACCAAGGCGCGCTGACTTAGGGCTTCTCGCTGTGGAGGAGTCTGAGTAGACTTGGCTTTGCTTGGTAAGAAAGGATTACGCAGAACCTGAAGAGAAATATATATGTACAAATCATTTCGCATGARGCGAGAAGGTGTGGAGGGAGGACTGCACAGAGAGGGATAAAGAAATGTAAAGTGAGAAAGGAGGAGAGAGTGGAGGAGAGGAGAAATGAAAACGTACATGTATGGAGGAAGAAGACAGGGAAATGTCAGGCACCGCGGAGCATAATTTTTATTGAGGGGGGTGGGGGTGGGGGTAGCAGATCGGAACGCGACAACGTTTGGGAAGCGCCAGATGAATCGTACAGTCATACAGAGTATGTGGCGGGGCGAGGGGGAGGGGGAGTTTGAGCCCTGCCGTGTTGGTAGGAAGCSGGAGKGGGAGGAAGAAAGCTCACGTAATGTGTACATTCTTACCGGATATCCCAAAGTGTCAGCCAGCTCGTCATGCGTMAGTTTKTTCACTRTCTGAATAACACTGTAAGCAGGTAYCTCCACATTGTCTRCATAGACWACAAAATGGACATCTACTTGCTCACTGGTTTTGGATCGTCTTTGGAGAAATACAATCTAGAAAAACAATTAATCAGTAATGCACTAACAAATTTCTAGGATTGTGGCTTTGCTMTGCTTTCATCTTCCTTTCTTAGGGCAGAAAATAATCTTAATTGAAAATAAAAAAGAAATAGATGGATGAAAGCAAAGCAACTCGAACTCAGGTCTCCTGAAAACAGTTGCGAAAAACCGAACCCCAAACCAGCCAATCAGATCGTGCYCTTCCTAGGATAACCGCTGACTCAAGACTTACCCTGACTGCAGTGASGGATGTTTCTCTCTTGCTTCTCAACATAACATTCTTCAATGCGTTTGMCCGAGGTTCCTTTATGAAGTAACGATGAAATCTGTTCTTTATTTTTCGTATGTTTAATTTCCCAAACAATTCTCTGCGTTTTCGCCGAGTTTTTGAACCTTTATCGTAAGCGACTACAATTCTCYCAGTCAGATTGACTTTGAACTTCTCCTCACTTACATCTTTCTGCAAAGAAACTCGAAGTACAATAGCAACTATTTCTTCCGACTCTKGTAATTGCTGTGTCAAATTTCGATTTCCAACCACCATTGTATTGTTAGTTACATTTGCTGTCCTTGCTGAAATGAGTTTCATTTCATTTTCAGCGCAGCTCTTTGAGCTACCTTGAGTTAATGATGTACTTCGTTGAGTTGTCGTAAAGCCCTCGGAATCCGAACTTGACACGATTATCGTCRAAATATATTCGGAAGTTAATACCATTTGTTTAAAACTCGGTTGAATATGTGTAGATGAGGCCGAAAGAATTGTTGTTGAAGGAAACAAATCTGTTGTAGAGGCAGTAAGCATTTTTGTTTCCTGAACTACGTTTGTCGGAATGCTTTCGTACATACTCGCTGAGGGCTTAATCACCCGACTTGTTATCGATTCATTCTGTGTGTTCGGCATACTTGAAAAGATTGGAGAGGTGCACATCATTATGATAATAATTGAGAGTTTCATCTTGAGATCTATGTAATCGATCATTGCTCGTAAATTGCTCGGAAGAATTCGCGACTGTTTCTACTGAAAGAAATCAACGTACGTAAGCAATCAACATTTAGACACACAACAGATAAAAGGGGTTTTATGCATGACGCGCACAGGTTGTATGCGACAGTTGTGGAAAAAAGTTGTACAGCGTGAATCAACCTTTTGGTATAGCTGTAGTGTGTTATAGGTTTAATGTACACTATGCAATTTACACGTATGACGTAAACAGGTTGTATGCGACAGTTGTACAGTGTAAATCAACCTTTAGGTAGTTGTGGTGAGTTGTAGCTTTGATTCGCATGACGCAATTCATGCTGTATGTATGACGCGCACAGGTTTTATGTTCAGTTTTACGCAAACATTGTGTAAATCAACCTTAAGGCAACTGTAGCGAGTTGCAGGCTTTTCGTTGTATTGATGTTCGCACGGGTTGTAGYTGTGTTTGGTGATAAAGATTGTGAATGGAAATAAACAGTTAGACAAACGTTTTTTTTAGTCACTATATATTGCCTAAACTGATTTAAACTTACAAGTACTATCTAAAACAAATATTACTTAAAAACACGATGAACTCATGGACACGTTTACTTTTCTTTCTCAAATGTTTGATTTCTTACCTACTTATCAAGATTTCTTGAACAAGAACTCGCGTTTAGATGTAAACCACTTGCCCTGTAGCACTTCTCTCACATCAAAGTGTTACGTAACAGTTTGTAAAGTCTCACTCATGTACTTTTTTCTTCATAAAACCTGAAAAGTTTCTTTTCGTTTGCTGTTTTTAGTCTTCGTTTGTGATTCAACTACTTTATCTTCAAATGTTTTACTGTTCTGAGGCTTTCTTGCAATATTTTTAGACGCCAAATGTGTCTGTGTTACCCCTGACAATCGGAAGACAACARATTCTGTTGTTCACAAGTTCTTTTGGTTTTGTAAACGTGTCGAAACCACAAGAAACTTGCTGGCCAATAATGCTCGTCAATTAGAGAAAAGGAGTTGTACTTAGGCGAAAATATCAATTCATTAAGACAATAGACTAAACAAATCTTTTAGGAAGGAAAGTTTGTTTTTTAGTAACAATGAAATAATGATTTTCCCCCGAAAGTAAAATGAAAAAAAAACCTGGTTCAAAACTGTTAAAATGCAGTCTTTAAAATGCGGTCAGAAATTACTCTTAAAGAGCGTTAAATATAGTACGTTTTGTATATAAACATTTGATAACAAGATTAAATCACTGAGTATATACCATGATAACTTGAAATGATAGCACATTTCAAGAGGATCGAGATAACGAGACAAAGAGGAGATAAGAAAAAAGAAAAATTTTTTTCCTCATTTAATTAAGCAACAGACTGAGTGCATGATTCTCCACACACAATACTCAATTTTAGAAGTTATAAAAGAGAAAAATGATCAAAAACAAAGAAAAACATTGTGGAAAATGAGACCAAAAACTATGATTCAAACTTATCTCTTAAAAAATTTCGAAAAACATTTTTTTTTAGATTTGAAACAGTTCTTACTATTATCGACAATATTTTTTTAAAGTTATACTTCAAAGTAGCGATAAGGTTTTCATATTTGAAATGGCACTGTATCTTAGTGAACGATCAAAAACCAACAAAACAAAACCCTCACAATCGAGTCTATAGGTTCTCAMCAGAAACTCAGTTTGAGTGAATACAAAATAGTTGAATTGATTCACGGGGAACACAAGGAACAGGTGCCTTAAGACGTTTTTATTCGGGGGTAAAAATAGCCATGAAAAATCTTAGTTTGATTCATCGTAGTGCTAGAGACAAGCCCYACCCGGTAATCCCCTTGATGTATATTGATGTGCTATATTTCACACTCAACACCTCACAGCAAGTTTTTAAATGAATAACAAAAACTAGAGGACCTACTGCTTAGACCCAAACGGCAATAGCAAAGGAGAGAGCAGTTCTTTTCGAGTTTCAAAAAAAATATATTTATATCCTACATCAAATTTACAGTGGAACAAAGAAATACGATACGGCATTTTGCCAACTGTTTTTGCGAGACGAAAAATCACTAGACATCGTTACTTTTCAAAAGTGTCGGTGCAGTTACAAGTATTGTTATTGCTGTGAAACAACTTATGAGGTGGCACTCTTATTTGATTCATGGCAGCGTAATCCTGAGCGTACTTATAGCGTATTCGTAACGTATGAATTGCGTATTTGTAACGTGAATTTCCCTCCACACTCATTGCTTACTCCGCAACGTATTTCTTAGCGATTCCTTTGCGTATACCACAGCGCCTCTGCGTCATTTGAGAACCATTCAAATAAAACACATTGGCATGGAAACGTATTTCAGTTCGTATCTCTTAGCGGATTCCTCTACGTATTCATCAGCGGATTCTCTGCGTTTTCCGTATTCTTTATAGCGCATTTGCAGTAATTGAGAACCATTCAAATAATATGCATTGGCGTGGTAGCGTATTTCAGTTTGTATCTCTTAGCGGATTCCTCTACGTATCCCTAACGGATTTTTTAGCGGATTCTCTACGGTTTTTAACATATTCTATTGCAGCGCATTTGCGGCAATCGACAACGACGCAAATAATATGCATTTACCTACAAGACCAACAAAAACTCTAGTACCAAACGAAAGACAGCAGCACACAGCCCATCACACTACTCCGTGAATTAATACCTATCAAATTAAATTCGAGCCGTTCACRCAAACCTTTCAAATCTGGTATATAATTTTATTTCTATAGCAAGAACAGAGATAAAGTACTTCACCAAAAACCAAGCCCGTTTCAAACACAGAAATTCTTCAGTTTTTGCTCATTATCTCACATGCAGCCCATCTAATCTGTAATGGATGGGCTGCCTGTGGTTATCATCGTCTCATTTGCATTGAGCTGGGTACTTGTGAGCTTCAGTGTTTGAAAGTGGCTTAGTTGTCGATAATGATTCGGTTGTGTTTATTGAAAGTCCCGTGGGGGGTCTACTTGGGCATTTCTTGTCCCATTGCTTTCCACTGCATTGGAGTAAAAACACTGTTGCCTTTGATTGTTCTGGACAACCAATCACCGAACACCCAGTTACCCATCTGCACCGCCCCCCCTGAACGGCCAGCCGAGATGATGAAAGACTTGCCCTCTGAAAAATTAAAAACGGGGGGTGTTTGTCGATGTGCTTTACATAGTAGTCCCGGGTGGTTAATGAGGCTTTGAATCGTAGAATTTAGTTCAATAAAAGTTTTGACAACTGAAGCGTGATAAAATGCATTTGCACTAACAACAATTAATGAATGAAAAAAGTGCTGAGTGAGAATTTAGTGGTTCAAACACATACAATAGGTTTCTTTTTACCTCAAACGAGAGATAGTCGAGGCTATTCGAGGGGTAAACGATACTGGGTAGAAACGCACTGCGCATGCGGAAGTCGAAGAGTTCGTACAAGTGAAAAACAAATATATTTAAATAAAGATAAAGATGATAATGATGAAGATGATAATGATAATACTGATGATGATGACATATTTCAAATACCTTCCATTTTGTAAACCGTCATTTCTTTGCCTTCGTGTTTAGCCTGAAGGTTTTTGCTCATGTAAGTCGACTGAGCYTCGGCCAGCCTGGCTAGTTTGATCTCAGGGGTTGAAGTACAATCACCAATTGCATATACATTGGGTACCCCCTCTACACCCAAGTACTCATCCACTTTCAAGCGTCCTAGCTCATCCATCTTGTCACCTAACAGAAAAACAGGAAACTAACAGGTTAGTAACAGGAAAAAACTGGTTTGTTTAACGGGTTAAAAGAGAATGGACATATATAACCAAAGCAATGCATCAAACGAGAGCTGGGAAACAACTACAAAGGACATTCTTACCAAAACTGTCTTTATAAGCCTCAGAGTTGACTTTGAGTCCAGTACATTCAATAACAAGATCTGCCTTCTTCTCGCTTCCTTTATCAGTCTTGACAGTTACATTCAAGTAGCCTTTTTCACGGATCTCAGGCAGGTTGGTGACYCTCTCGCCTTCAAGATCAAAGACATTTTGATTATGTACATGGGAGGGAGGGCTGGGAAAAAGTGTCAGAAGAAAAACATGGAAAAAACATAAAAGGAGGAAGGGGGGGAAGAAATGCACAAATAAATGACAGGGAGGACCAAGGAAGGCAGAAAAGCACAAGAGAGAAGGAAGGAGAAGAAGAAATGAATAAGTAGGATGATGAAAGGAAGCCTTGAAGAATGGAGGAGGGAAGAATTGTTGGAGGATTGAAACAGTGTGAAATGGAAAGGAACCATACCAAAGCACAAACAAACTTATACATACTTGAGAAACAAGAAAACAAAATAGAGACCACTTACTGGGAAGGAAAAGAAGGAAGAAATACAGGAAAAATGAGAACAGTGTTTTCTTACCAAGCATTGTCTTCACTCCAAGAGTTTTCAATCGTTCTTTTACAGTATTCTGGAATGACTCAGATACCCTGTCATTGACAATGATTTCTCTTGGATGAATCAATGTCACTTCTTTCTCCTTGTAATCTTCCTTTATATCACCTGACAGCTCGACGCCCACTGCACCTCCACCAATAAGAACAATGTCCTGAGCTTTCTGGACCTAAAGACGGTTTATACAAAACAAACAACTAAGATTGGGCTTTGGTGCTGTATGTTTATAATTAAATATTGTACATGACTTTACTCAATACATCCTCATTCCCAACTGCTTATCGTCAAAACTAAAGGTCTATATTATCCCAAGTAGAAATAAATAATACAGAAATTCCACCTACCTTGGCAACCATGTCTTCATATCTTGCAATCGCTTCACTTGCACTCGTATCTACAGGCAGTTTGGAGGGGAATTTGCCAGTTGTACCAGTTGCTATAACGAGGTCATCATAAGGTATCGTTTCACCACTAGCCAGAGTCACAGTCTGTTGCTGGACGTTGATACCAACGACTTTACCACGCTTGAATTTGTCACCAAATGTTGGTTCAAATGGAATGAGACATTTCTTGATGTAGCCTGTATGGACAATAGTTTCCAGTGAAAGTGTTGATTATAAAGATTATTATTTTATGATAATGATGATGATGAAGAGATACTTCTTGATGTAGTCTGTGCAGACAATAATTTCCAATGAAAATAATGATTGTTATTATGATTATTTTATGATGATAAATAGTTGCTGCCTATAGACTCATTCTCTAATTCAAATTTTTCATCCCTCTGCTTTGATCCCATTCATCTGGAGATGATGATGATGATGATCATGACAATGATGATCAATAATAGCTGTTTGTACACTCATTCTATAATTCAAATCTTTCATCACTCTGCTTTGATCCCATTCATCTGCAGATGATGATGATGACGATGATGACAATGATGATCAATAATAGCTGTTTGTACACTCATTCTATAATTCAAATCTTTCATCACTCTGCTTTGATCCCATTCATCTGCAGATGATGATGATGACAATGATTACCTATTGCTTAGTATGCTACAGGCAAGGAGGGTGTGCAAGGCTGCAGAAAGTGAGTTTGAGGGGCAAGGTATGGGTGTGAGGGGGCAGAAGGTTAGTGGGAGGGGTGCATTAGTTACCTGGTTCAGAGGCTGACCTCTGTGCACCCATATTATGATGGAAAGAATCCCGAGCATCAATCAATGTTAACTGACAGTTCTTCTTGATCTTCTGTGCCAGATTCATTCCTGCATAGCCGCCGCCCACGACTACAACACGAGTCTCTGCAAATGTCTTTACTGGTGTATGGACGGCACTTGCATGCGCTACATTAACTGAATTAAAATAAAGTACAATTATAAATTTCTACACAGCTCAACCAAGAAAGTCAACAAAACGTTAATTATCATATCACAACTCTTTGGACAAAAAGGGCTCTAAATAAATGCCTCGAATTCAAAATTAATCTTCGAAAATGACAATGTAACAATTAAAACATTTAATAAAAGTTACAATTACTGGTAATTCGAATAAAAACACGAAACCGATCTGCCGTGATTGTCAATGACCTCTAAATTATGATATTTTGAAAACAAAGTCTGTTTTTTTTTTTAGATATTATTTTCGTCAATATTAAAGATCTTTCAGRCACAAGTTCACACTCGTGCGGGTTTGCACGCGTGGAAAATGTCGGCATAGTTCAAAAGGTAGCGTAAAGAGGGTGCCAAAACACTATAAAGTAACTTATAAAATAGTAGCTTGTAATCTATTGATTATMAACTAGAAATACCACTTTTGAAAACAAACGCCTCTAAGAAATGATATATGAAGCGTTGCGTCTCAAAACATATACAGGTTCTACAAAGAGTTGTAATAAAGCCCCAAGTAAACAAACTACACACGTCTTTCTCCATGGACAATATTCCAAAATCGGAAGCGAAATAATCACCTTAAACGCCTCAAACTCGTAGAACAGGATCCTTAGATAGCTGTTATAGATATTTAGAGTATTTACACTGAAAATTGTTTGAAAATCCCGGTGTTTTGCTGGGGCCGAGGTCACGCTAATCGTTAACATGTTACCCACCTTTTCTGATGGTACGGAATACTAAATACGAAGTTCCAGTCGCTACTACTCCAAATGAGAGGTAAGGCGTAAATGTCTTTAGCTTGCTTGCCCACATATTGGATAAATTGATGTTGAACACTACTTAAAGAAAAAACCTACAGAAAACGCTCTACTGACGAATGGTGTGAATCGGAAGGGTTGCTAGATACCGCTTATAGCAGTATTGCAGGCTCATATTTAAGCGATTTGAGAAAAAAAATATGAAATAGTTTTAATATTAACAAAGATGATTTTAAAAAKATTCAAGTGTACAATAAACAAAAAAACACATTGCACAATTCTGGACCTACATATTTCATTCATYCAAAGATCATTYATTTTTTYSKTTTTYMAWKKWAAWWAAWKRAAAWKRAAARSC